AAAATAACCCCATGAAATAAATGAGATATATTGAAAAATATGAAAGCCCACCAAGACGAGTTTCATACCTGTTATTACCTGGCTTGGGAATTGCAGCGGTGCATAATTAACAGGTTTGTTGTAAACGAGCTTTTGGTCAACTACAAAGCATTTAAAATGCATCAGCAATCAGTAAGTTTGCCAACTGATGACAGTTAATCTGAAAGACTACCAGCTCTTGATATGATCTAAACCACCTGAGGTGACCATGATCTAGAGCATCGCAACTATTGTCACCGAAGTTAGTAAGTCACGGAAGACCGTCACAGACAAAGAAAGATTGTCAAAAAGAGCTGCAATTTTGGTGAATCCCACGGCAACACACCGAGGCATAACGAAAATTCCTCAACTCCGTTCAACACAACTTTCCTTAACTTCTACGTCTGTATAGTATGCACCATGCAGCTCAGTTGAGTCTCATAGATCGACCTTTATCGTGATTGTCGTCACAGTACCACGTGACCCAGATCTGTTGCTTCATTTTTGCATATTGAGGTGAGGTTTACTAAAACGCTTTTTTTTCTACTAATAGATTGTTTTTATAATTTTTAAATGGCGGGGATCGATTAAAACATACCTCTAGTGTATAGATTGAGTGCTGTATCTTCAAAATTCGAGAAATGGATTTTTACATGAACATTGTCTTTTAAGCCTCTCTTCTGGTCCTCAAATCTAGTTCGGTCCCTTGGTTCTAATCTGTTTACCAGGGGCTCTGTTCTGGTCCTACACCTGTAAATGTCCATCATGACGTGTTCCCCAAACGTGTCCTTGGCTGACTCTCTTTTGGGCCCAAACTTTTTCTGCGGTATGGTCTTCATTTGGAAACCTGCCAGTATGACGTTCGGGGGAGGGGAGGGGATTAATTACTTGCAGTTAAGCAACTCAACTAACGGTCATTTGGTTGATTCGCGAGATCAACGGACTAGCAGGCTATTATTTCACAGCATAAATTGAAGATATAAATTGCAGAGTAACATTCTGTCGCAAGGATACTACATACAATTATTTATTCCCTTCATGCTCCCCCCCTCCCCGGGGGTCACTTGTAATTGATACTCCGTATCTTGATTAATGTGGAAGAATCACAGATGAAAAGAGTGCGCAGACGTGCATTTGACAGGTCAGGTCACGAAGTAACGGATACGGCATCTCAGGCCCAGTTTATAACACTCTCCTCTAGTTCGGGACATTTACAGAATGTCTTAACCTCTCTCTCTCGTCATAAATCAAAGTCTCTGACATTTAACATTAGTATTAGTATAAATATTCATTTTTTTTTCATATGAAAGATGAGAGCGTAAATTAACTTATCACAACCGCTCACGTTTTGCAAAACGTTTTTATTAATGTTTCATATTACTTTTAATAACTGCTGACTGCTTTCCCTGTTAGAGGGTACAATGACACAAACCAGTGAAAGTAATGGAACGTGTCATATACTTATTCTGATATTAAACTAAATATATGTGGCTCACATTTTCACTTTTTGTTGAAAGTTTTCTCACATCGAACTTAATTAATTGGCTTGGAGTGTCTACATCTGTAGCGGTGTTTTAAAGGGTCATAAAGTGACCAATTTTTGAGATAGCGTTATGCGGGACTTAGGTAACTTTTGTATAAACGGGAAATAATATACTGTAGATTGATTCACAGCTCTGCCTCCGGTCGAATGCAAGCCCTTTACGGACCAACCAAAATTAACTGCCCGTGTCTGGTGCGGGTGCTCTGTTTTCGTGGTTCTCTTATATAATTGCGCGGTGCTTAGTTAATCTGGCAACAAATGTCGCTGCAGATGCGATGCAAATAAAACGGTATAATGATCGACGCGAAAATGCCTTTAGTCTGTTTTGATTTTTACCGTGTACGCACATCTACTATAATGTATAGGGTTCGAAATTATCAACATATCGGATTACTTAAAATAACCATCCAAAGATCATGTACATTACGGCGCGTACACACAATTCGTTTGATTTGTGGTTTTTAATGAACTTAAATATAGATGCTGCGATAAAGACCATTCAACTGAATAAGATATATATACAGGGCGAAAAAGAAATTGAGACGTCCCTGGAGTCGAGACAAAATTAATGTTAAAGAATCCCGATTCTGTAATAACAGCTATATATGTTTGTCTCTTTTAAATTAATTTGAATTGTGCTCTATAACAAAAGAGGCAGTCCATGTGAGGGTCGATGGCACTTTTAATGGTGGGGATCGAGTATTTAAATTCACAGATTTCGGGCATGAAAGAAAATTTTGTGGTTTCCAGGGGTCAGTTTGTAAGATCAAAATTCAGGTCAGGGCGCTGTTCTGAATCTTTCCCTTGAAGTGGTAAATTGAAACGGGGATGTTAGCCTTTAATTTTGCCCAAGGGAGTACGGCGTTGTGTAACAGTAAATTGCATTGGCATGCATACTTATACTACGTAGTTATACTGGATCTGAGAAACAAGAAGCAGAGAACGCCATAAATATTGTAGTAGTATTAAACATCCTAAAGGTAGTCACGCAGCAAAACTTTTGTGTTCTTTAAAAAATATGAGAATATATTATAGCAAATATAATACAATTTTAAATAATTAAAATGCATTTCTTTCTAACATTCAGTTTACGCACGTTTTTTGGTAGTCTCTCAAAGTTTTAAACCTCAAATATTGGAGACCATAATAGAGTCAGCCAAGGAGACGTTTGGGGAACACGTTTGAACTCGTCATGATGGACATTTACAGGTGTAGGACCAGTACAGAGCTTCTTGTAAACAGTTTAGAACCCAGGGACCGAACTTGATTTGAGGACCAGGCCCCGTATGCACAAAAAATCCTTATCTTAAGTGAAAAATTCTCCTTAACTTCATAAGAAAATTCTTAGCTGAGGAAACCCCTTAAGTGGTATGCACAAAGTACCTTAAGAATTCCCTAAGCCAAGAATTTTCTCAAATAATAGGAATTTACTCAACTCTGTTGGATTTCTCTTATGTGTTGAGCTATGTTTAGCCTGTGCATTGACCAAAAGAATTACCTGTTACAATAGCTCACACTGGGGAATTCCTGGGGAATCCATGTTTGAAGGAATCCTTTACTTGGATATGATAGGCCTATCAGTTATTATTAGAAGAGTTGAGGTATCAATTGTGTAGGCCAAGAAGTTGTAACTTCTTGTGTAGGCCTAGTATTCTTCATACTCTGACAGAAAAAGAGGCATGTCATCCAATCCCCAGACCCAACACTAATAATAATAATCCAGTGACATAATTACATTTTAATAAAAAGGTTTTATCTCTATTGGCTGATACATGTGCACCCATCTCCCCTATCGGCGATAATTCTGTAAAAAGGACCCATAAAAAAATATTAGTTTACCATCATTGTCACCTACAAGAAGTGATTCAGTAGGGCGAATTTTTTGCTCATACAAAAACACATTGAATTTAACCAACGATGCCCTCCGGACCGTCATTACATACACTAAAACATGGAACGTGCCATGAGCAAAGCTAGTAGTAACATAAATTGCAGTGAGAGGCACTCCTAGTACAGGGAGAGTGTTTTTGTGCATGAGGTGCACATTTGATGGGGAAAATTTACATTATAATTTTTTTATGTGAGCAGAAAAAGTAATGCCGCCGGGGATGATAAAGTAACATTTTTTCATGGGCCCTAAAAAAGAAATAAGCCCAGCATGTACTTATTTCATGACTATGGCCATTTACATGTCATCGACTTACATATTTTAAGTGTTATCAGTGATGAAAAATTGTGACATGTAATTCATAATATTAATTTTAATTATTAATTTCACTATTGACCCCACAATGATGCGTGAGATTCCGTGTTATCAGGTGGTTTTTGGGGATTTCATAAGCAACATGACATAAAAAGTGCCCACTCAAAATTTTTCACTTTAGATATCCCTTAACAGAACGACAAATTACAAATGTAGCTGCCAGAAGATCCGTAATGAAAAGTATCCCCGCTCTATCAAAACGAAATCGCTGGTAAATCTCATGATCTGGGTAAAAATACAAAGGATTTTCGCGGTCCCGCAATATTCTTGGTCTTGCGACTGCCTTTTCCAGTTCATCCACTTCTTCACGATAAACAGCAATAACCCAGCAGGCATAAGTGCGTTGGATCAACGTTGAAAACAGGTTGATACATTGAATTGCCGTTGATCTACCTAAATTCAACGTAAAATCAACGTTGATCCAGCCACGTCGAAACACCGTCATAATGTGACGTTGATTCAACGTTGTATTTTGGTCATTGACACAACCTTGCAGACATGGATTATATTTTAAAATATTAATTAATTGTTGAAAACGTGATACTTTGTTTATTTATAATGTAACTAACTTTATCAAAATAATCAAAAAAGTGTTAAAAGTAAAAGTGACAGTTGTTTTGTGTCTTTAGTGAACTAGTGAATTTTCTTAACTTGTTATTCAGAAATACATTCCAATAAACTGAATTCCTTGCAACGTCANTTTTCAACTCATTCCAAAAAAAAAATGTAGGTAACAAATTTAATTGGCAGTCCTTACCTTGCATGCCTCACAAGTGTTGATTCCATAGTGTAAACCTGAAGCCTTCTCCCCACACACACGACATGGAGGGAGTAGAGGAGAGGGGGGTTTGTCTTCCTTTGTAATACTGTCACTGCTACTGATGATGTTACTGCTGCTGATAGCACTACTGTTGTCTACCTCAGGACTTGTGACTACAGGAGAGGAATCCATTGGAAAAAGACTGGAAGTGACACAGCTCTCTCCTAAAACAGATAGAAATGTAAACATTGATTTTACTTTCAGCTATAATCTTCACTCCTCTCTGGGCACATTTCTCCCAGTGAAGAGCTGACATAACTGACCTGGCCCCTTGATAACCAGTCTTCTGTATTGACACACCTCACCTGCCTGTAATCCCATACACAGTATACACCTGACCACAGTGAATCTCACATGGCCTGCCATACATCATGATGTAAGCAGCTTAATACAGAGAATACTAACAAGGTACAATCAATAGAAGTAGTAGGCAATACCTTTATAAACACAGGTCAATCCATGGGAAAGAAAACATGGAGCCATCATTGATCAGGAGATGTGGAACTGTTGTTCTAGCTGGTCCATTTGTGCAATACTATTATATACCTTTACCTTTATTTAAAAAGGGGAATAAATGGCAAGGTAAAATCTCATTTTTCTTACTCCCCTCATGTGACAGAAGTATTCTCTACTAAGTCTTCAAGATAATGGATTAATCTACTAGTATATAGCCAAGTATTCTGCTAGTACTGCATCCACACCTTTTATTCATAAACAACACTCTTATCTGTCAACCTTAGCAAGGAATCTTGACAAATTTCCCTCAAAGCACTCTCCAAATCTCTGACAGCCAAGTCCACTAATATATCTATGTGGTAACACTTATTATTATTTCTGTAGTATATCATGCACTCCTGCAAGTACACAAATAACCCATGTAGAGGAATTCTATTGGTTAATATGGAGATTACTCCTACATCATTCCTACCCCCACTTACATCATATCATTTGATTGGGAGGCACCAGCACAACCACAATGATACAGTGAAAGGGTGTAGAGACCATCAACAAATAACTTACTCCTACATCACAATCCTACATGGCATCTACACCTACATACAACCACCCACACACTTTGACAGGGTGTATGACCATCACTAATAACTTCACTTTCCTTTCCATAAAAATACATGTACACGCCGCTGGTCAACATAGATCAAATCCACTCTGTAAGTAAGGACTCTCCCTAAGTGCAATCAGCTTAACTGAATGACACAACTTGTTTCCAACATTATTGTATAATCACCAGTTTTTCTGTATTCTACTTAATGCTAGGAAGAGGTGTGTGTGTCATTTAGTTAAGCTGATTGCAGTCAACAAGAGTCCATGCGGAGTTGGGTTGATCCATGTGGATCAATGCTGTTTATGGGAATGGGGCCTTAGGTCTAGGCAACTATTTTATCTTGTGAGCTCTTTAAAAAATTGCAAAAACTTTTGTGTATATAACAAGCAAGAGTATTATTTTTAAAGTCCTTTTTCTATATTTTTCCACTTTAGCGTCATTTTGTACCTTAACTGACTGTACACCCCTGTAACTAAACTGGCAGGTAACTACACACATCTTGCACCCAACTGTCTGAACGACTTTGAAGAAATTTGCAAGAAAAAAAAATTCAACAAATTTACAAGAGCACCAAAAGCAAGAAAGTATTCAAATTTGCAGCAGACATCATTTGCATGGTAACATTCCCTCTTGTATGAGGTCAGATATATATATATTGATGGGGGAAGGGGGGGTCTTTCTCAACTCTTCTCAAACTGATCATGAGTTTAACTTACAAGCATACATCAAAGATAGGAAAAAGCTGATCTAGCAACCACCCCAACTTTATGAGAAGAAGTGTAAAATAATTTTAATTTTAATCAATATTTTAAAATATCTAAATACATGTGTGTCTATATATTGCAAGACAAGCCCTTACAAAACTCTTGGAAAATCTGTCCAGTTCTCTTAAACTTACATGTGCATACATGTTATTGAACCCATTCAAACAAAACCCATGCCAAACGGTCCTCCTGGTCCCACTGAAAACATATCCTAGCCTGCCTGACTATGTTAAAAAATGCAAGTCATCTCCTCACTGCAGAGATTACTTCAACCATAACACATGACATCAACCCAAACCCTGTGTGTTCAATGCTTACCAAAGACATCATGTGCACACTCTATAAGATCTCCCAAATCATCCCAGGGTATGTGATGCTCCATGTTAATACATGCCATGTCCTCCTCTGAGACAGTTTTCATGATTGCCTGGCTGGGTTGTCACACCCACAGTTCACACCCACAACACTAGGCTAGAGAGTCTCTGAGCCCAGCTCTTATTTAAATAACCCTCTCCATAGTGAGGGTGCACACGGTGAACATCACACTTAGAGCATTAAAATGGTTCACAATATCCATATATTTCTGAATCTAGCTCAGTGCTATAACAGCATAATGCTCTAGATCACTGCATAAAGCTCAAAGTAAAAAAAACACAGTACTAATGAAGTACTCTTTCCAGAAACACCACTACTTTTTTATTTCCCCGCTCCTCTACAGCCCCATTATAAAAGCCTTGAGAAACTGACGGAATCTGACGTCACCTGTCGATAACCATTCAGACTGAAGGACCAGTGTAAAACGTTGGCATAATAGTTCCATACAAATAAGTACCCAAGTACTAAGCAAACACCATGTTCTACCCTTACTTGCTATGGAGATGACAACAAACATTGCTACACTGCTTTATATACTGTGTCACACAATTACCACATTTCTACACGCTAACACATCTATAACCCCATTGTACAATCCTCCTACAACTTCTATATAAAACATTTCAAGACATTCTTTACAGGGCTTGAGGAAAGGTATAAACACAGGTATGGCCTGTATGAAGAGGCTTGCTCAAGAGAGTAACAGTAAAGGATTAGCAGAGAGGATTATACACCTGGGCACCTATGTTGCAGAGGGCATGGTGACCTGATTAAGTCACATGCTGTGGTACATGTGATCAGTGAGTGACTGGGGCAGACCACAGTACAGATGTACTCTAAGTCAACACCAGCTGATGATGAGAACTTAGTGGGATGATAACACATGGTAAAATAGGTCATCTTCACTGGACAACAGTGGTTTGATAACTCAATAGACTGATGCAGAAAAATCTTAACATCTATGTCATAAACTGATCAGTAATTACTGGTATGTCCATTCAAGTTGCCCCTCTACTGTACCTCTTACTGTACTTTATGATATTTCAGCAGCATATGAGATAAGTTTCAAGTTTACTTCATACATCAGGCCTACAGACCCAGAATACATAGTTCAAAACATTATTTTATGGGATGAAAATACAATAAACGTAACAAACGTTCTAAGTGTAAATATGAAAATAATCGATATAAAAGAAGTCCACTTAATCAATGGTCTTCTTATAATTTTTTTCTTCTAATTTTGTTACAATGATATAAGTAACCTGCCAATCTCAGGAGCAGATCCAGAGATTTTCTGACAGTCTTCCCAATTATCTTTGTTGATCTATCCTCATCCTCCATTTTTGACTGTCTTCCAACCGAAAAAAAATTAGATACCCATCTATGTGAGTCTAATGTGACCCTTAAAATCAGACCATCTTCTGGAAGACCCAGAAGACAGTCTCAATCCACCAGAGATTCTTTTTATAAATTAAGTCACTGTTTCGCCAAGAAATGTAGCATCTGTTATATGGTCATTGTTTGTATGTTTGGTATGTACTGTTTGGTTAAGCCTTTGTATTAAGTACACTATTGTAGGACATGAATCTCTTTTTTGACATAACTATATCCTTTTGAAAAACAGGCGATGCACACAGATCTACTTTCTGCCTCTGTGCCATTATAGCGTCCCTTTTCTACTTGTAAATCATGATTCGATACTCTAAATTATCTTTTGTGCTCTGCCACAGGTACAATGCAAAGCTATTCCTCAAAGATAACACCCTGTTTGAAGCATATGTGATAAATGATATATGAAAACTGTTCCATGACTTGATACAACCCATGACTTGGGCCATACAGGCTCAAGTCAGGATAAATAATATGTTTGTAATATGAAACAAGGCAGCAAAGCTGTCAAATGTACAGACAAAAAGCAGACAATAACAATGCACAAAACAGGCTACTGTCAATTCTGATGCAAAAGTACATTATGCTTAACTGCAAATTCAACATCAAATTTTAATTATGCTCAACAGGTAATACCAATGTAAGTGAAATGTGTAACAAGCGTAAGGATTCAGGCCCATGGGAGTTTAAGTTCACACTTTGAAAATGCCAGAATGAGAAAAATGAAAATTTCACATAAAACTGCTTAAATTCAATAATAAATGATAACCCATTTGAGCTGGCTTTCTAATTTGAACTGCATGCCAATCCTACAAATCGTACTTGTAAGTTGAAAATAATAATAAGTAACATAGTTTTCTTTTCATAATGTTTGTAGTAGCAGTGCAAAAAGATTTTTGTCAATTTTGATGTAACATTACATAATAAATTACAGAATAATTATCACCAATTTTTGATTATTGACTACAAATAGCATGGACATGTAGAAAATTTGATTACCATTTGGCTTCATGTCCATGGGAGCTTCGAGTCCCACAATGAATATGCCAACATGATAAAAATGAATATTTCACTAAAATGTATAACTTCCAGAAAAAGAAGCCAATTAGACTGCTTTTCCAACTCAGGCTGCATTTTAGTCCTTTGTTTCTTTTTTGAAAGTTTGACACTCATAAGTAACATGGTTTTCCCATAATGGTCATCATGGCAGCAGCACCCAAAATTGTGTTTTCTTCTATTTTAATGCAATATTACATAATGCTTAACAGCATAATGACCATCAGTTTTTAATAATAAAAGATCCGTATCGTGGATTTTCAGAAAATGTGACTAGCATGGGTCTTCAAGCCCGTGGAGGTTCTAAGTCACACCTTGAAAATGCCAATATGTGAAAAATTAAATTTTCACAAAAAACTGATTAACTGCCAAAAAAATTTACCAAATAGTCTGCATTGCCCACTGAAGCTTTATTTAAGTCCCATGTTTCTTCCTGTAAGTTTGAGAACAGTAAGTGACATGGTTTTCCTTAAATGGTCATCATGGGAGCAGTGTCCAAAATAGGGGTGTCTTCAAATTTTGATGCACTATTACATAATGTTTAACAGGATAATTACCATCAATTTTTAATAATAAAATATTAGTATCATGGATATTCAGAAAATGTTCCTAGCAAAGGTCTTCAGGCCAAAGGAACTTCAAAGTCACACCTTGAAAATGCCAAAATGTAGACAAGACAGCACTGTCCTGAAATGTGTTTTTTTCCATTTTTAACAATTTTTTAACATATAACAAAATTAACAATTTACTGCCATTTATATATGATCAACTAAGAAAATTGATGAGATGGGAAAAATATCAATAGAACAGTGTTTAATGTCCAATTTCCTCCATTCTGAGTTTCTGAACATAGTGAATGAATGAATCTGACAAACTGCAATGATATGAGTTTATTTCCATTTTTGAAACTCTATTATACAATACATGATAACAAGTTTACCATCATTTTTACATAATCAACTAACAATGTTGTAAAGATGCAGGAAATGTCAAACAAACACTTTTACGAATCTTATTAGTTAAATAATGAGACTGTTAACATGCCTAAGAATTGAATCTGAGGAAATGTGAAAAAACAGCATAACTTATAAAATAATGGCCCGATTATGCTGATTTTCGAACTTGACCTGCATTTTAGTAAGATTAATTACTCCTGTGAGTTTCATGACAACAGGTCTATCGGTTTTCCTTGAAATGTGTTAACAGTGTTGCACATATGCTGAAAAGTGAAAAAAACAGCATAACTACTAAAATAGTGGCCCGATCATGCCGATTTTCGAACTTGACCTGCGTTTTAGTAAGATTGATTACTCCTGTGAGTTTCATGACAACAGGCCTATCGGTTTTCCTTGAAATGTGTTAACAGTGTTGCATATATGCTAAAAAGTGAAAAAACAGCATAAATACTACAATAATTGCCCAAACATGCTGATTTTCGAACTTGACCTGCGTTTTATGAATATTCATCAGCTCTGTAAATATAAAGCCAAAAAGTAAAACTGTCTTCCACTTATCGTGTTAACGATGAAAGTGCACGGCGACGGCGACGGCGACATCGACGGCGACAGGGACGGCGACGACAGACGCAGGTGATGGCAATATGTACAGACACATCTGTGTCTGTACATAAAAAGCATATGAATACGGGTTTGGTTTCTCAGGAAAAATCTTCCTCACATTTCATCTTATCCTTATTATACAATATAACAATAGAATCACAACACAAGGTGCAATTCCCTGTAACATCTACATCAAACAAAGTAAATAAAACTTTTTATGTATTTTCCTAATGTACTTAGTATTTTCAGATTGTGCTTGCTGTTCATGTGCAATCTCAACAGACACATTCATGGCCAGAGCCTCAAGAGGACAAGCAACAAACTTGGTGAGAAGTACATAACAAATCAATGTTTTATCAGATTTAAGAGTGTTCTATGGTGATAAGGCTGACGTGTCTTGTAAATTAATTTTTTTAAGGTAATAACTGATACCTCAACATTAACCAGGCAATCAATCTCAGTTTTATCAAGTTCTCCGCCAATCTTAGTTTTATCAAGTTCTCCACCAATCTTTGTTTTATCAAGTTCTCCACCAATCTCAGTTTTATCAAGTTCTCCGCCAATCTGTTTTATCAAGTTCTCCACCAATCTTAGTGCCTGATGTAAAGTTCATGTGGTACATTCATACAGTAAAACAAAAACACAGTCTGTACACAACAAATTGGCAGAAAACAAACCAACTGCAGTCATAGCCATGGCATTATAAGCTTGGGATTTTCTCTACGAATAACACGTACCTATGTTTCAATATTTTCTATCCACCACTGAAGTTTCCACTTCATATCAATTGTTATATGCATCACTGCATTGATTTTTCACTTCTATTCTTCCTTCACAATGGTTACAAATGAAAATAAGCAATAGTATATAGGAAAGTATACACCTTTTAGGCCATTATGACATGTCTAAGTTTGTCAATTATCTACATGGCATTACTTAGAGACTAAATAAACATAGGGGTGGACAGAAGCCGTCTGTTGGGTCTTCTGGAAGACGGTCAGAATTTTTCAGTTTACATTGACAGGCACCTAATTTCTTCTATTGAAAAAAGGTCAAAAATGGAGGATGGATCAAGAGAGATAATTTGGAAGACAGTAAGAAAATATCTCCAGATCCTCACCATTCACGTAAACAAGGTCCATAAATGGTGGTTCGAAAATATAATTCACAATAACAACACTGATTACAATTTAACATGTTTATCTCACCAGAATTTTCTTCAAAAAAAAATTAAATTTCTTCAACTTACAAATCATTGGTCAATCCATCCCTGCACTTGCAGTCAAAGTTTTACACCATTTCTAATTAAGTAATCTATGAACTCCACACGCCTCCACAACATCCTCAGATCTTCTGAATGGCCTCAAAGTCACATCTTGAATATGTGAAAAATTATAATTTCACATAAAACTGTATATCTTACAGAAAAATTAACCAATCAGACTGCATGGTTTTCCTACTGAAGCTATAGTTAAGTCCTTAAAATTTGTTTCTTTTCTGTAAGTTTGAGAATTATGTCAGTGACATGGTTTTCCTTAAATGGTCACTATGGCAGCAGTGTCCAAAATAGGGTTTTCTTCAAAAATACAATATTACATAATGTTTAACAGCATTATCACCACCAAACTTTAATTATGTACTGCAGGCAACTGCATGGATGAAATAGTGACTAGCAGAGGTCTTCAAGCCCATGGAACTTCAAAGGCACACCTTGAAAATGCCAAGAGATAACTGTATTGAAATGAGTTTATTTCCATTTTCAACACTTTTTTACATAATACAAAATAAGAAATTTACTACCATTTTTATATGATCAACTAAGAAAATTGCTGAAACGGTAAAACTATCAATAGAACAATTTTAAATGTTCTTTTTGCTCCATTCTAAGATTCTCCACATAGCGAAGGAATGAATCTGACAAACTGCAATGACATGAATTCATTTCCATTATTGACGCTTTATTACACAATACAAGATAACACATTTACAGATATGTCTGTGTTTGCAGGGGTGGATCCAGAGCTATTTACTGACAGTCTTCCAAATTATGCATGTTGATCCATCCTCTTTTTTGACTGTCTTCCAACATGAAAAATTGGATACCCGTCAATGTAAACTTGAAAATCTGACCGTCTTCCGGAAGACCCAGAAGACGGCCTAAATCCGCCCCTGTGTTTGTACATAAAAATGACTTTGGGTCATTGTCAATACAGTATGCCTTAATTATAGCATGTGTTACTGTTCTCATTATTGACATCACATAAATATAATTTTAGGCATGTGACTCTTAAAATGAGAAATAAGAACATCATGGAAGTGTTTAGGACAATAATAAGGTAAGCAGAATTCTTGTTGCGATGTTCCAATGTTTTAAAATACTCCGCGCAGAGCCTCGTTTACATTACTTCCTTAATATTCTTCCTGCCTTGAAACAATTGATTTGTATTACAAATCCGAGCAATTGATTTGGGGATGTGACGGGTGGCTATTAAAATTCTGGAGACTAGTCTATGAGTTATATTTACCCTGCCGTAACTATAACTTAACTAAAACACACTGGACGAAGTCATGGCATGAATACGCTAGCTAGACCAGGTGGTGATTTTCAATTACTACATTCGGAACATTTTAGCAACATGACATTGGATTTCAAGCAAATATAAATAGTAAAAAACAATCTATTACTTTCCCTGGCCCTCTACTATTGTTCATTATAGATTATATTCTATACAATAGTACATCAACAAACAGGTTAAAAAGTAGAACTTCACCTGATGAACTTTTTGGTTCCGCATCCGTTTACCTTATTCCGTACAAAACACAACAATCAATATCAAATGCGGACTTAAAGTATTTTTATACATCATATGATATTGAATTTTATTTTTTGTATAGGCAGCAGCTGTGAATATGTCATCTATGTAAATAATATTTCAACTAATCAATTTCTAATTCTGTTTCTTAGAGAATAAGGTAAAAAGCACGCCGCCATTTTGACCTGGCCTTGCCTGGGAAGGAAGCGACCTGGACATTGAGGTGTAATGCTATTACTCCATCTCTGCATGATTTACACAAAATCCATGTGGTTCTAAGGCAGCAATAGTACAGGGTAGCGAGGAGAAGGCAGCGTGGGGCTTGGAATATATTGGCACAAAAGAACTTTTGGTTTTTAACACAGCAATGGATGCGGCTGCAGCCGTGCAGGCAACGCAGCCGTCAAATCACGGAGCTGCTGTGTTTGAAACTACCAAGACTGTCAACGCACATGCATCCAATCAAGTGAATAATAATATTGCGGCCGGTATGATCACGTTTTATGTCATTTTGTATTATTGTTGTGTGATTTCAATATTACTGCATAAACGCCTGCTGAACCCTTTGCTAACAATGAAAAGGTTTCAGAGCAGTTGTACAATTTTCTCTGAGAGCCCCTAAGTCTTACTGGACGCCTGGTCTGTTGTGAATCAGTATGTCCTCTATAAATGAAATGGTTGACTGAGCGTTCAAAACTGTAGCACCTTGCACTTATCATCTGAAAATGACTGGCAAAATAGTGGTCATTTTTTATTGCAAGTTTCTGTTGTCCTGGAGAAGATGTTCTTGGGTGCCATTTAGTCAAGGAAAGAAGCAGTTGCAACCCTGCATATAATTCCTGATAGCCAATACTTTTTATCTTAGGTCAAATACCTCAGATATATCTGTAAGACCATATAGTGCAGCCTCCCCAATATATTACAATGTAATGGACAGAGGNTCAAGTTAGTCTGTGTAAAAGTAGCATGTTTCACAAAAGGGCTGACTCCTTTCATATGCAATGGCCTCTTGTTAAATGGCAGATCAAAGCATGGAAGCTGTGAACATTTCTTTGGCGATTCTTTCTCTTGTCTGCGTGACAGTGCTTGGGACTGTATTGCAGAAAAATTATTGAAATGTTTTTTCTCTATATTGATGGAAGCAGTTCCCCTGTACCAGCTCAAAGGTCCACAGCAAGGTTTCAAGGTGGAGTGTCGTATTAGACTGAGGAACCCTGATGACAGTGTCACCTGTTTGAGTTGACTGGTAATCATCCTTATTTCTGAAAGAGAGAATGGAATGGTGTGCATGCTAGAAATAAGAGACAAGAATTAAGACGGCCATTTATGAAAAGAACACTTTGTCTACATATGGATGAAGATTACTATATTTAAAAATCACAGAACCACTTAAGCTGTTATATGAAAATATTTGCTTATTTAAATATTGATATTTATCTAAGTTACTTATTATTTTTCATCTTTGTCATATATTAATGTCAAGCTATTGGCTGGCTTCATAAAGTCACTAATTTCCAAGTTCCACATACAGTCTTTCTCACCAATTAAAGAGTGCTAGTACCTTTACATGTCATGCAAAATACTGTAAGTCTGAAATGGCAATTTTCAGCAGTACATTTAATCCTTTTTTGATGTTTTACTCCAAACCAAATACCTGACTTATCTGATTTTTTCCTGTGGAGCTTCCATAGGTAAATTGAATGTGTTAATGATACAAAAGCATTAATAAAAATATACAATTTAAAATATAAACCCATTTAAAAACCACTAATTCAAACGTGAGCCCACTTACTTGAGCCATGACCAAAACGTCCACTCACCCCACCACACCCCCTTTTTCACAGCTCGTTTTACTTAAAGTTTTAGGTTCACCAAAATAATGTTATATCGATGATTCTACTCCAGCAGATAGGTATATTATAATGCTCTAGAGGTGCCACAGTCATGGGTGTTACTGAAATGCGCAATACAGCGCAATACACTTGATAACACAAGTCCAGTTGCAAGTAAACACAGGAAAGGGTAATCTCAAATAAAATAGGGTGGTATAAAAGCAAAATATAGTACATAGTAATTAATATTGCTGATACAACTTGACAATTTTCTCATTGTTTGGTCAGCCGCCATGTTGGTGAGTAGCTCTTCTTGGCCAGTAATATATCAAAACATGGCTGCCAACCGGACAATATAAAAGTCTTGCTGATTTGTTAAGTTATATCGACGATATTACTTACCTAGTAATATAGGTTGTTTTTATATCACCCTACTTTGCTGGGGATGGTCATTTCTTTAGTGTAATTGCAACTGGATTTGATTTTTGAAGTGTATTGCACTGTGTTGCGCTGTATTGCGGTGTATTGCGCATTTCAGTCACACCGACAGTCAATCATGTCCTGCAGCAGCACTGGCCCGCCTGTGACCAGCGACCACTGAGGTTCCTCATTTAACAACCTACATAAAAATCCTCTTTGCTTAAATTTTAATACTTTGTGAATGTATAAAACATTTGTGATTTTATGCAACAAACCCCATGAAAATTGATCAAGGCGAAGTATGTTTTAACTTTTTTAAGCTGGCACAAAAGCGCTCAGTGGTCACAGCTTTCTCGTTAAAATGGGAGGGCACATTTGCCCTAATATCGCTATTAAAAAACTGTGATATTTCCTTTGACTTTAGAGATCAAATATCAAAATTGCAAAAGAATAACATTCTGGATAAAAAGACCTTTACAAAGATATAACTTCTGTTTATATCTTTCCTGATATACACGAGTCCGCTATGACATTAAAATTTACCTTTTCCTTTTTGACTCATTAACGACCAGGTACTCAGCAATAAACAACAACAAAAAATACTGTCGAACAAGCTTCTTTTAACCTAGATTAACGCAACCGTTGTCTTTAAATAATAATAAGTGGTACGTCCGTGGAGGCAGCCATCATAAAAGAACCCGTATGTGCTTGTGTCATACCTACAGGGGTCGCTGCAACACAAGAGACCGTTTTCCTGGCTTATTTGCTTTTTATTCCCATTAACGGTATAATAAAACATGATACATATTATCAGTACAAAAATTATGAAAAAGAAGAACAAATTGACTCTGCATAAAAGAAATTGTCTAAGGTGACAAGACCTACAAACTTAAGATTTTTATTTATTAATTTTTTAAATTTAATTATTTTAATAATAATTTTCTCTTTAGTCACTTGGACATAGCAAAAGAAACATGGATTCAATCCCTTATGCAATCATAACATATTAAACTAATTTAAAGCCAGATCTACATGCAAGAAAATCGTGAAACTCCTACAGATTATGAATATCTCACAACTGAATGGTTTATTTGACGTCTCAAACTGAGAAGAATATGGACATGAACGAACTGATTAACAGGCTTTATCCATAGGATGTGGAAATTGTGACAACATGCAAGAGCATGTAGCCTCTACAACATAGTTAGGATTCTTTTTACCATCCTCTCACCCCCCTGTTACATTGAAAAATGTTTTTAAATTTTGAATTTTTTGCAATAGTTTTCTTATAAATTCTGATTTATTTCTAATCATCCGAATTAAAAGACCTCAGATTAAAAAATTTAAACACCAAAAATACCTCCCCCTTCAGTCATACAAGCTTTACAGGTTCTGCCATCTAGTGAGTTATACAAGTCCTAAAATGATTAATGATAATGATTAAGCATAATATTAGAGATTTTATTGTTTAATGTTGTAAGGTATTAAAATTGAGGTTATGTATTAAATACTGGATATCAAAAATTGGTTCTTGGAGATGAAACAGTCTGTACAATTAATTTCTTGATATTGACCAGAGAGCGCATGTTTAAACATTCATACAGCCTGTTACATATTTCTAATAATATTGTGCGCTTCTTTGTGGATGTAATAAATAAAAAACATGTTTCAAATACTTTATTACACATTTTAAAGAAAATATAAGCCCATACCTACAACAGCAACAGAGTATAAATATTATCTGTTTGTTACTCCAGAAGTATATGGAAAGGAAACTTGTTCAATGTTTTTATTGATATGTTGGGATTTCTATCAAATAAGCAACTCAGTAGTGTTTTCTGTAAAAAAAAAGGGTCAGCACATCTCAAAAAAGCCCAATGTTGGCTCAAAAAAGTCTGTGAACATTGACAAGATTATCAAACAGCTCAGGTTCATGGTATTTCCCATCTAACATATAAACAGGGTATCTCCGGCCTCTGACTCGTAATCTTAACAGTCTACCACTGCCGACTCTGTGTTTTACGCCAGCCATGTTTTCTAGTAGTATCTCAGTTTTCCTGAAACAAGGAAATAAACTTTTAAATGCGTAAGGAGGGAATTTACATATCACGTTTTGCAACCGAAATACAAGTCAGATATGTAATTGGGAGTGATTTAGATTACAATTGTATTTTTTATATGACAGGCAACAAAAAAGATGCATTCCATTTAATGAGGATATCTTCATTATCATAAATTCCTTACAGATTTTTAAGTATTTTAAGTAAAATACTTTTAAATAAAAATGAAAATTTACTATCAATAAATATGAACATTCAAATTGAGAGCCCCTTCAGTGCAAATTATTTACCTGAGTCTTCCAAATAATGTGGATGTATATAGTTCTACGTATTCTCCTCCACTCTTTAGTATTATCATGTGTACAACCTTCCGGGAGAGATTGAAGGAAACTATGGAACAAATGAACCCTGAAAAAAAGTCTTGCTTAATATACTGCTTATACTTGCTTAATATACTGGTTTATACTGGGTTTTGGAGTACTAAATGGTGTCTTTAAACCTATGTTAAAATGGTGATCGTGGGTGCTCAGGTAACACAGAAATTTGAGAAAATGATTTTTCAGTTTTTACCCAGAAATTGCAATTATGACATCACCCATGAGATGACATGCAAGTAATGAAGTGAATTTTTTATCAATGCTATTTATACAATGCTCTCTAGTATGTTAACCAGAGACAACATTCCATTCTGATGACAAACATTAACCCCCAATGTAATTAAATGAATAATTTTCATTACCTGGCAACTTCATTTAAAACTAGGTAACAGCTTACGAATCAATCTGTTTAGTTGCAATACAATTAAAGAGCTTGGCCGTTACATATTTCACCAGTACAAAGCTCTATTACATAAGGCTGTATCCCTTCATTTTGAATAAAACCCCTTTTACAACTTGAAGTCACAAAATGAGTGTTAATCTTTATTAAGCAAAATATTATTTTCTTAAAAACTCCACTATAGCTATGGTTTTGGACAGGTATACCAGTACCTTAGTATTAAAGATAAAAATTACCGATTTTTTAATGAAAATTCATTATTTACAACAGCAGGTTAAATGTGCATTTTATACTTTTAAAGGATGTTTATCATATTTTTAAGGCAAAAACTAGATAAACATCTGACATACTTACCACATGTAATGAATATGCCTACTAGATATTTTTCATATTTTGCTACTTTCTTTGCTGTTCTATTTAAAAAAGTATCCTTAATTTCAACTTCCTTGAAGTCATCTGGATGATTCACTGGATATAATAAACCATAAGCCAGATCAAAAAATGACAATGCTCCCACTGCAAAAGCTAATGTTGCTCCCCTGGAGAGTCTTTTTGTGCTAGGATCACTTGTGTACAGAAGTGCATCATTTTCCACTTTAAAGGTAGGCCTATCATATTCTGACATTCTTTTCCTTCTTCCTTGCTGTGAGACATGTCTTCTTATAGTACATGAATCAAATTTCTGTTTTGAAAATGATTCTGGCAATGTCTTTTGCCAGGCACTGCTGCTTCTGGTCACACAGAAATGATGACAATGCAATAATTTCTCTCTTTGCAGAACTAGAGAGCATCTTTGAGAAAGGCTCTTTGCCAGAAAGGCTGCCATCCTTCTTCTTACATATATATCCAGTGCCCTATGTAAGAATAATGAACGTCATGAGATAAAAAATAATTTATCAGAATATAAATTTGAAGTCTTACATTTGATTTTACATGATATAACATGAGAAGTCTTCTGAAGAATGCTGCGGAAAATACCAAGCATTAGCACGAAAATTCATGTGTTAGCACTCCTATTGACGGTTCTGATATGTACTGGCTGTGCTAACCAGTTGCTGTGCTAACCAGTACATATCAGAACCGTTTATAGGAGTGCTAACGCATGAATTTTCGTGCTAACCAAGTATGTATTACTTGAAGTAGTATTTATTTGTAACACCACTGGTTGTAGGTAGCAACTCGTTAACTCGTTTTAAAATGCATACCTTTAATACATTCAGCGAGAGGTATACCCTCAAGATTAGCTAAGGACTAACCCCTTGCACTATTAAAAGAATACGGAATGTCAGTACACCCCTCAAATTCAAGCATCAAACAGGAAAGAACCACTGTAACACAGATCCAATGCACATGCACATCCGGATACATTTGGCATGCGCAAGTTTTCCGTCCACCTACTTCCGCCACTTCCGCAAATAGAAAGTGATGGCAGCGGATTTGCAGTCCAAGTATCAGAAGCTGGCATCTGAATACGCTAAGGTATATCCACATGTGCTCCTGTAGATATTCATTAATGATGTCCAGCCTTTGTCTAATGGCTGAATGTTTTAGGTGTTAAAGAGACAAATACTATTTTTCTCTAATTATGTGACCGGTATCAGAGTCACTGTGTAGGTCAGTGAAACTGAAGTGATGTTTATTTACTGAAGATTTTAAGTGTTTTCGTTACTTCTGTCCTTAGAATTTGGACCATCAAGTACACTAAAACATTTGAGAGAAAACCAAACAAAGCAGATTTGATATTTAAAAAATATTTCTTACTTTAAATGCTGTAATATTGATTTTATAAATTTGCAATCTTTCCACAAAAATATTCCAGCTGCGGGCCCAAATACCTGTCCTCAAGAAAGCAGTGCTAGATGAGCAAACCAAAGAAAATCATTTTAAGGTTGGCATTTTGTGTGTTTTGGTGCCATTTTATTACTAAATATCTTTATCTTTTATTCGTGGTTCATTACTAGTAGTACTAAATAAGCCTTCTAGGAAAGCATATTTTTAGTGATTTTGGTTGAACAAAGTTTGTGATAAATAAGGATATAAAAACACTACTTTATGTATATAAGCCAGTCTCCATAATAATTATGTAATTAATATGATTGTGTTTTTAGGAAGCAATCAAAGAGAAAGAACAAAGCATTCGCAAATTTGAACAAGAAATTGACAGCCTTGTCTTTCGTAACCAGCAGCTGACAAAGCGTGTAGAGATTTTACAGAGTGAATTGGTGGATGCAGAGGCAAAGGACAAGAAATCAAAAGTGAGAATCGCTTATGTACAGTATAGTTCTTAGTTGTTTTTTTTTATCTTATACATTCTGAGGCTGCAATAAAGGCATATTTTATAGTGTTTGAAACATTTCCATTCAATTTATTGCCAGTTTATCTAAAGTGTAATTGGCCCAGCCCAAAATTTACTACTTAGACAATTATTTACAGGATGAAATTTTGACTGAACTTGTGTTCATTACTGCTGCTAATAGAAACAACATTACAGAATATTATAAAAACTTCTGTTCCACATAAAAAAAAAGAAAAACCAACACTTGACCTTTTAATCAAGTTTTTTTTTATTGACATAACTTCAGAATATGTCATTTACCTTGGGCCAATAAGACTTTAATTTTACCAGCACAGGCCAGTGGGTTGATTTAAACACTGTATCATAACTTGCAATTCAGAATTTTTAGACATCTTCCCCAAGTCATACAACTATTTGAAAAAAAAAATCAAGTGGAATTAAGGGAAACTGTGCACAAAAGGTGCAGCACCGCAGCTTGAAGGTAATGCCATGCCATTTACAGAAACCTTAGATGTATATGAAATTAAAAATAAATGTGTTATTTATTTTAGAACAAGCACAATGATGTTTCTTTGTCGACAAGTCCAAGAAGTAGTGCAATAGGGGAGGAACTCAAACAGAAAATAGAGGAAAATGAAAGGCTACACAAACAGGTATTAATTAATACTTTTAGTCTTTAGTGAAACAGAGCCCTAAGGGTCCAGTATGCACTTCAGTTTTTACCAGGTAGACCTTATAGTAAACCTGAGTAAACATGCATAGGTTTCTTTGAAAGTGAAATCTATTGGATATATTTGTTTGGGTTCATTAACAGCATGGTGCTAAATATTGCTAAATTAAAAAGCTACTTCAGGCTACTTGTCATACGTTTCGGGTATATTTTTTGACAAAGTACAGTTGTCAGTCTTGTGTTTTTGCAATTTAAATTTTGTAGAAGTGAATTTGAAAGTAATTTTTTTTTGGCAGTTGTCTATTACGTTACATGTCCAGGTGTTGTGTGATATGTATTGCATTTGTTGGTGAAATAAAAGGGAAGGAACAGTCTGATAAAAGTTATACTGTGTGGTAGATGAAGTCAACTACACAGTTTAACATCTTTCAAATTGTGTAAAAGTAGTAAAGTTTTTTACTTTTACATACACATCACTGAAGTGACAATGAAGGCATGTAAAGAGAGTTGCCCTGTAATATAGTAGTATATGCTAAATATTATCTACACTTTTAATGCAGCCAGGGCTTTTATCCTTTCAATCCTGAACTGGCAATATGGTATTTGATCCACCAGGTTTATAACTCCGACCTTGAATATAAGCAGAAGGTGGCAGACTTGCAGGACAGGCTGACCATGCTGGAACAGGAGTCTGCTCAACATCAACAGGTGCTTCAGACCACGCAGCAGAACAGCAAGGTGCAGCTGGAGAAACTGCAGAATGAGAAGGCCATGTTAGAAATAAAGCTTCATGAACAGGAGAAACTTTCAAAGGAAGCCAAACTGAGAGCTCAAACAGCGTAAGGGAAGCGGCAACCGCAAACACACACGGGGTATCACACATGTGCATGCACACACTCTCTCTCTTGCCCACGCTTGCCCACCCTCATTGTAAAGCTTCTCTTTTGGTTAACTGTTCTAGTGATTTTTACAACTAATATATCATTTAGTGCATTTACAAATAGTAGGGGTGGTAACAATTTTTGAAGTGTTTGTTGAGTTTTCTTTTTGTTTTCCATTTTTATTTATTATTTTGTAGGGAGCAGCAACTCAAGATGATACAGACAGACCTGACAAGTAAATTAACCCAAGCAACTAAAACAATCAGGGATAAACTACCTTTTAATGATACAAGTAAGTTGAAAGAAAAAATGGTTAGAATGTTTGTCTCAGTTTAAATGTTTACAAAATCTAATGTATATTTTGCAAAGTTTATTATTCATATTTTAAAGATTAGATTCAAAAATGCTTTATACTTGATAATAATATTTTTTCTTTCCACTTCCAGAATTTCAAGATTTTAATGCTTTAAATGTACCAACACATGAAAGAAAACACCAGCTAAAAACTAAAGAAGTTTAAAGAAAAAATAGAAAATTTGGCTCACTTTAAATCTTTACAAAATATAATGTATTCTTTTGCATAGTTATCCATTCAAACTAAAGATTAAATTTAAAAATGCTTTAAACAAGGGGATAATATTTTTTCTTTCCACTTCCAGAGTTTCGAGATTTGAATGCTTTAAATGTACCAACACATGACAGAAAACATCAACTAAAAGCTAAAGAACTTTGTGGTCAAGCCACCAATTTAGTCCAAGACCTAGTGCAAGGATTGGCCAACTATTACACTTATGTGGAACAGAGGACTAAGATTTACCCTGCAGATGGCCAGATTGAACCATACAGTGAGGTCAACAAAAAGGTCTGTGTGTTCATTCATAATCATTGTGGCATTATAAACACTAGATTGAAAATTTAATGAATGGCCATATTTGAACTTCAGCATGGACATATAGATTGTAATACAATTACAGAATTATAGCTTACAAGTGTGTTCAAAGTATGTACATGTAGTAAAGAATATTTTATAAAGCCATATCAATAAAGCATGTTATAATAGGTCTGATTATAAACAGATGTTCTCCACTCTCCTTATGTGATTATAACCCAAAGCTAAAATGTGGCAAAAAGCTTTAACTTTATGCTCATCATGTTTTATCTATTGTCTTTTAGTTTTGCCAGTATCTACATGAAAACATGCAATATTTGAGGCCAGTAGAGCAATCATTTAGAGCTTTTTACAACAGCTTGAAAGAGGATGCCCTGACAACTCTGGTAAAACTACATATATAATGTTTACAGTTAAAAAAGTTCAGTCTGCCTCCTTGACTATTTTGACCATCAGCAACAAATTTATTGCATATTTTCTGAAATTTCTCAAGTCAAAAACTTCAAGAGTCATCAAGCAGTTGACCATCAAATAAAAAATGATGAGATTACATTTGAAAAGTTGTCAGTTGAAGACTTTAAGTCTATCTTCTGCCAGTTTGGACCATTAGTGACAGATTGGTGTGATGAGATTTTCCATGTTCTGAGATTGATTAATGAAAAGAAGTCTTTAAGAAAAAAGGCAAGTAACATATAATAATGTATAAAAATTCCTACATTGATAAACTGGATATTGAGTACGTAATTGAGACGTACAGTTTTAAATGTTGAATTGACTTCTTTCCAGGAAACTGCCATGGGTCTCCAAGAATTTGCCCATCATTTTACAAACTTTGTGGCATACAGCAATAAGATAATGCCGTACCAGTTATTGAGGTACTTCTTATGCTCTATATCAATTCACTGTTAATAAGGCCCCCTTTCACACCGAATGGTACTAGTACACTCGTACTGAATTTGCCCATTGTGATTTAACTCAATTTTCTTCATTGCATACAGTGCTGTTTTTGTTATTGGCTACCAGTCCATGTAAGGTATATGGCATATATTACTGTTTGATTTTAATACAGTGTTGGTTTTTATCTGCAGCCTGGAAGAGGAGTGTTCATTATCTTCCTGTCCTGAGGCCCTGGCTGCCAAGAATAAGGAACTTTACTCTGTAGTGCAGAAGCTCAGTGCAGTACTCAACAAGATACAGACTTATGTGGCTGTCATTGCTCAGCAAAGTAAGAATACACTGAAAGATAGAGTAGATGGCAGAAGTACTTCAGCTGAGCTGCAGCTAAATGCCACATTTTTTCAAGATTTGCTATCCACAATATGATTATATTTGTGAAAGTATATATTTGGATCTTTTTAAAGACAAGAAAACCAAGAAAAGAATTGTTTTTCAGATAGTGTAGTTGCAATAATAGAAAATACTCAGTAATAATAATAAATGCCATACTGTCTTGATTATTTTTTTAAGGCACTGTATCTTGTGACCACCCAAAAACCAACCAAGCCATTTTCTTTGAACAGCTGTCGGGTGGTCTGGAGCTTTTCCACACAGTTTTGAAAGGTGAGTGTTATGCTCTGCCACGTGTTCAGTCCTGGGTTATTTTGGGGAAAATCTAGAAAGATAAGACATAACCAAGTGAATCATTTATGCAAAACAAACAACAAATTTAACAATATTTTTTTACTCACACTTGTTAGGCCTTCATTTGGAATATTTTGTTTTTGTGCATTTAGACTTCTTTATTTCTTGCTCCTTTGTATGACTATGTTTGTCATAGTCATGGAGTTGATTTTTAACTAAGTATAATTTACATTCAGAGCTATCTACTACTTACAATGCCAAGGTGACATTAGAACACCAGCTGCCCACTGCCCCTTCTAAACTGAAGACCACAGATGAGTGTGTCATGTCTGCTTTAGTGCACTTACAAAAATGTGCTGGGAAAGTGAGTAATTCATTACATATTATGTGAAAATTTAACTTTGAGTTGGAAAATCTTTCTAGTTCTGGCTGTTTTTTTCCACATTATGATGTAACTTACATTTTACATTGATTTGGGTTGAATTTTTTTCTCATTTTGCAGTTTGCCAACTTCATGCGGACCAACCTGGAGTTCTTCTGTGCTACAGCAGGTTATCGCACTCGAGGTAGTAGTATATCCACCAATGAGTCCATGGAGGGTCCAAAGTCCAGCCCCGTGGTGGGAGCTCTGAGGCAGAAGTCTGCTAACTACATGGCTTCATTACATAGGGTATGTAAACTAACAGATTGCACTGAGTGTTGTAGATGAGTATAAAAAAGGTAGAAAAGATTTGAGCATTTTGGAATGATGTGTGCAGTACTTTCAGTTTATAATTGCATTGAAGTAGCTGTACTGTTTCTTCAGTTTTATTTTATAATCATTTTCATTCTAATATATTGGTGTCTTCTGGTTACATTTAGGGGCTAATTTTGCTGTTTTTGATAATCATACGTAATTGAAATTTATATTGTTATGGCTTTTATTCTTGGTAATGGTGTGACTTTTGAGAATACTGAAGATTTTTAGTAATACTTTTAAGTTAAAATTTTACTGTTAAAAGACATATCTATTTTGATTTTCTTGCTCTAGCAAAGTCCAGAGTCAGTACCATACAGGGTTGCAGTTGAAAACAGAAGAACCCTGCTTAGTTCTACAGAGAGCAGGGACAGCCTAGCTCAACAAGTTAGTGAAGTCCTAATCTACTTCTGAATAATCATTCAGAGACACTGTACCTTTTGTTCTTTTAAACATAATGCGAATAATGTATCCTAATAGTGCTTCATTCTTGAGCACAGATAACTGTGTGATCCATGTACGAGTTGTTTACTACCTCTGCCATTAGAAGGGGATGAAGGGTAATTAACTTCATGTGTTCTACGCAAATTCTGATGACATATGCAGAATAGATGTTATTAAAAATGAAAGAAGTGTCTTCAGTTTAAAGGAAACTAGGTCTCTCAATATTTTAAAGCATTTTTAATTGCCAAATCAGCACTCTTTTGACAATGGGCATTTGCATACTGAAATTGGTAAATGGTAAAACTTAATTCCACCAGGTCACAAATTTCCAAGAGCGTACTAAGAAATTAGAACAAGATAAGGAGCACTGGATGTTGGAGTCCCAGCTGATGAAGATGAAGTATGACAAGGAGATGCAGGTGAGAGAGTTGTGCATTTGATTTCATATTATCTTCATTGTGTTGAATAAGTTCACAAAAAATCATTATGACTGTTTCAACTCAAATATGTATATTTTGCTATTCTCTCTGTTTCTGTTTTAATGCTTACACATGCACATGTTATATAATTTCATATTTGGGGATGCACTGGCTTGATTTGACATGTGCAGACAAGCCCAAATAATAAAAAATGTGATCGAATACAAAAACAAACATTGTTACCATAATATTATTCCTTTGGAATTAGCATTGTTTTTTCATTCCAAAATTTTCAGAAAGTGGCAGAACTTGAGAAACAGTTAGCAAGGACATCCACATCTGCTGGCTCTCTAGAGGATAACATGGACAGGGGGCTCCTCCCCCAACCCCAGGCATCACCACAGCCAGCTATGTTCATAGAGACTAGCATGGTGTGCATACTTATTATATTATTATGAACATTATCAGAAATGAATTTTCTCTTTATGAAAATTATTATACCTACAGTTTAAATTATCTTTACTATGTGTGTGTGTACATGCACGCATGTGTTTGTGTGTGTGTGTGTGTGATGAAGATAAAAAAATTTGCCAAAATGTAAATTGATTTGTGGATCAGATAGCATAAAATGGCTTTTCATCATCTGAATTACACATAAAATACATATATTTATAGAGGCAGGGAAGCATGTGTCTATCAGTTAAACAGATCTATCTGTATTCTTAGCTTGGTCAGCTGGAGACATCAAAGGGTGGTTTAGATGACCAGGCTACCAGGGAGGAGCTGATTAAGAAGCACTACATGCAGAGGATAGACCAGCTGACGTCCCAGCTCCAGATGGCTGACAGCAAGGCTGTTCAGGTCCATGCTGAGGTAATGCATTAACAATAGTGAATAACGAGGTTAATTTTGTAAACTCTGGATGAAGGTAATTTATGTCTCCACGATCTAAGCTGATTTAAGTAATAGGACATGCCAGTTAAAACAAACAAACTCAAATTCAAGTTAGAACAAGCTCAAGTATAATGTTCGAAATTTGGCCGTAATGTTATTGTAAGCTTTTCCATCTACTGCAACTGCAGTCTTGTTTGAAGTGTTCATCGCAGTGTGAAGAAAAGCTCCAGTAGAAACCTTTCAATACTTTTCACTTGATGTAACTTATGTAAATTATGTAGAGGTTGTAAAAACTAATGATCCATCTCCATAATTTCAGTTGGTTATTAATTTCAGCTCATGCTGATTGTATATTTACATGGAAGTGGTGTATTAAAAATGATGACATGTATTTTGTATGGATGGTTTCATTTACAGTGTAAAGCGCTACACAAAAGATTATCATTGGCAGAGAAGGCGAAAGTAAAAACTCAGGAAGAAATAAGGACTGCAAATCAGTCTGTCACACAACTCAAGGTAACATTTTCAAGTGCCTAGAAAAGTTAAGAAATTTATAATCTGTTACCACTCTTAAACTTGCATGAATTTTAATATTTCTCCCTGCCACCCAGTACTGTGACAAGATTTAAAAAAATCTTTGGTTAATAAATTATGGAAACATTTGTATACCAATACATGATAGCATAGCACTCGCACATATAATACAACAAGGGTTATGTTAATGATCCATTTTTATTTATGTAACAGCAACAGATTTAAGAACATAAATATTGAAATTGTGAATTCTATAAAATATCTTTGTCAGGATGAACTGCAAACTACAACCAAAAACTATGAAAGCCAGTTAAGCACTATGAGCGATCACTTGGCAGCTATGAATGAAAGGCTGATGCAACAGCAGGATGAGATTGAAGAATACAAAGCACGGTTGGGTGCTAAGGTAACAGTACAATTATACAATTCCATCTCCTAAAATTGACACCACACATGTCGGGACTATTATCATAATACAAAGGTGTACACTTGATTTAATGAGGATTGTAATTCTTATGAAAAAGACTTTGGTGTGATAGTTGCTCGATTCCATTTTTTTTTTACAAAGATAGGCCAAACAAAGGAACAAAAAAGCCATTCAGAATTTTGGAGAACAGGCTTTTTTTTTTTCTTTTTTTTTTTTGCTTTTATACCAATGCTATGCTCAATAAAAAGTTTTCAGTTAATATTAAATTTTAAAATTTTCAATTTTCTATTTCAGATTAAAAAAGGAAAGACCAAGTAGGACTTATTTTCAAAGGATAAGATATCGAAGTGATTGTTAATGTGACAAATATGCCAGAGATTTCAACTAGATTCATTAAGGTGGAGATTGTTGTTGTCTGTGTAAACGGTGCACAAATATCATCACATCATACAGGATATCTAGTCTAATCATTTCAGTACTGTAAGGATGTCATTTAATGAGTCATTTTCATTTTTTTAATCAATGCAATGTAGTGAATGTGTACCAGCAATGTTTTGTCTTTTATTTTGTAAAAGAAGTCTTTTAATTGAGTTTGTTTCAAGATTCAACCCTCTTTACATTGTGGTCACTGAACACAATTTGAGGTCTTTTAATTTTTTGCTGTAATTAATGTTGGGGCAGGAGTACAATATGAGAGACACTTACTCTACACAATTCTGCTGAATACAAAGTTTTCATTAAAATTTATCAGTACACAACTGGGGTGTACCTTTGATCTTTTGCAAAAATAAATTTACAATTTTTTTTATTTGAGGGATTAATGGTAAGTGGGCTATAATTACATCAATGAGTATTTCTAAGAATAATGTTGGTTGACTCAGTCTTGTGAGCTTGGCAACTTGATGGTGCTTCCCCTTTCATTTGATTAACGGTCATAATCAATTTGTTGATGTTTTTTACACTGTATAACACAATTGTGCACATGTAATATGTCTCCATTATTTTTGCTATAAAATATTCCAACAATAAATTGTGTTGTCAAGTGCTTATTAACAGTATGATCTGAAGTTTACAATCATATTATATTTATAACATGTAAAAAAATTTATGTAAGAAGTGTATTTGCTCCAAAGATATCAAATAAGTTTCCTCAATTATTCAGACTCCTCTTTTGCTGCTTACATTTAATATTAGTGGACATGTTTGTTGTAAATTTAAGACTTGACCCATTGTAGAGAAGTGTTTTAAGATAGATACGCAGTCTCACATTATAGTGTTGATTGCACCACACAAAGAGACTAGTGAAAGTCATCTTCCTGCTTTTGGTGTAGGGTTGTTCTCCAGTATCTAGATCAGAAATATAATTTATTGGTCACAATAAAGGGATTTATGTGTGATGAGGGTATTAATGTGATGTAAGATGCCCAGGGAAACTCCCAGAGACTAAGATAAGCTCCAGATGTTTCTTCCCTAATTACAGACAGGATGTCTTCGCTTTGTATTTCACGCTGTTAAGTTAATTACTACCAAGTGACACTGGTCAGATACCAGTATAGCAAAACCTGATTGGACAGTACAACCTAGTCTCATTATGATCAGCCAATCAGAATCATAAGGAGTTCAGCTTCACCAAGAACAAAGAACACTCTCTCTCACTTCCTTAGAAAATTTTAACCTAGTAGTACATGCTCAGGAGAGAAAAGTTTTTAGTGAATTTCATAAAGTTTCTCAAACCCAACCCTGTCCCTCCCTAATGTTCCCTGATTAATTAACACTACAAAACAATTATTAATTCTATGTATCATTATTATATGTATGGTATTTATGTTTAGAAACATTTGACATATAGGTAAGCCTCTATGTGTTAGCAGTTCTCATTTTGTTTAAGTCAACATACAGGGCATAACCTTAGCATAGGGCACATATGGCAGTTATAAGGCCAAGAGAGACAACTCGATTAGTGGGCTGTCAGAGCATTGAGGAAACCTACGTCCCCTTCCTGAAGGGTAGGGGTTGCGCAGCTCGCTCTCAGCCTCGGCCGAATTTTGGACATAAAATTTATCTAAAACATATTGCCATGTGTGGGCCCTTTTTCCCTCCATCTTTGCTGAAATGTAAATTATATCTTTAAGCTTGAAAATTATATAACATGCATGATTGTCATTCATAGATTTATATCTAACTCTCAGTATTTTTCATTCGTACTTTGAACATTAATCAAAGTGCAAATGTCAATAAAATGACATTTTCAACCTACATCTATTTGATTCTGTTGTTTTGTGTATGATAACAAAATTTGACAGCAAACTAGCCGCGGCGACTCCTCTCAATTCATGCACTCATAAATGGCTTTAAACGAACGAAAAGTTTGAAATTCCAGAAAGTCAAGATGAGGATTTTAATCTTGTTAGCAACTGTTCTGTCTCCTGCAAGTGTTCCTCCAATTTGTTGTAGTCTTCTTGAAGTTCAGGCACCACACTCTCAGCAGATGTTGACTGCTTTTGCTGAAAAAAAAAGTTACCATGTAGCTCAGCTCAAATTTCAGAGAGAACTTTATACCCATATTGTTAAAATTGAATTCGGGAAATGTCCATACGAACATCACTTTATGGACATGATCTGGCTAATATTTATAACTTGCAATCTAACATCATATGCAAAAATAAGTTGCAGTTGTAGTTTTAATATTGGATTAATGATCCTGCCCATCCATCTTAATACAGAAAATCTTTAAAAGAGAAACAACCTTTGACATAAGCCTGATGAAACTATGAAATTTTTTTTTTTTTTTACAAAATAGATGATAAAATGCAAAAGGAATTTATCTTCATTGGCCAACAGAAACGATCTTTATAGCAAAGTAAATGTTTATGTCTAAAATAGTGCTGAATAAAATGCCCTACCTTAATTTTTGAGAGAACTCCTCTGAGCATCAGCTTGCAGCCAGAGGCTGTCTGTATGGCTGTGGCTGTATTCCCACACTTCTCACAGTAACTTGTGTATGCTGGAAAAATACATGACATATCCTAAAGAATAAACTTTTTATTTAATTTTTTTTTTTTTTTTTTTTTTTGCTTTTTTGCATAAAAGTGCAGGGTGTCTGAAAAGGATTTATATTATGTATTTTTTTTTAAATGGAAAATCTATCATAAAACCTATTTATTCAACTTTTCAGTATACTTTATCTATTGGTTTATTAAAAAAAAAAAGGTTCTTTCAGACAGAAAGTGACACAAAAATAAAATATATCAATCACCTTCTGCTAACTGAATTGACCTCTTGCAGATTTTCTCACACTTGGAGACCTCTTTCTCCCAGTTTGCCACCAGTGTCAGACACCTGTGAGACTTCTGGAGGTGTTGTAGAGCTTTTTCCTCATCTTCGAGAGACAAGTTCTCCTGTCCTTTAACTAGTTCACTGTAGGAGTACCAGATGGAGGCACTGTTTGTCACCTTAATAAAATTAATGGAAGTAAGAAGATATATTAATATATGTTTTTTCTTAAAAACTTAAGTGTGCTGATGATCAAAATGTACTTCTGAACTTAACATTTAATGTTTAAATTTTTTATGTCTACCAAAAGCTAGTGATATATTCTACATAGATACTAAAAATATTATCACACAAACATAGTTACAAATATACAAAAAATCTCGTATAAGTTTACTGGTTACTGCTGTATATAGTACTGGTGCTTTACAGCCTGTTTTTTCATCCCTGAATTTTATCTTATAAAGCCTGGTCTGTTTCCATTGCAATATTCATCAGGTATATTACATAAACCTCTTATTTATTTTACCTTGGAAGTAATCCTTCCAAACAGTTCCAGGGCCTTGGGTCTTAGTTTGGAGGCTGGCTTGTCTTGGGCATCTGAAAGGTCCTCGTTGATGGCTTTCACTAAAATCTCTAAAACCTATCAAAAAGAACAATGAAAACATAAATACCAGTTCATATATTATTTAACAGAGGATACGGTTCAACTTTGAACAAAACTTCTAGAATCTGACAAAAAGATTGTGAAAACATCAAACTGTTTTTATATATAACCTAAAAAGAATTTCCAACCATAAAATTTGTCAGAAGAATGTTCATAGAATGCCATTTACCAAGGGATCTTCATGTTTATCTCTGATATCCAGAAGTCTGTGGTATGCTCTTATAAGATCTGTGAATTCACCAACATCTGCAGCTGTCTGGAAAGAGCATTCAGTCACATGAATACACTATTCAATTATCAAGAAATTAATGTGTAAAAATAAAATAATACGCGAGAGTTCAGTCCATAGGACTTATGCAAACCAATATACCAGTTTCTGTGGAAACAGATTAAAAAAATAGTAATTTTCAAATAGATGTAAAACTAAATAAATAAATAGAGAAGAACACACACACACACATATGTTACTTACTATTAATATGTTCTCCCATATCCTCCAGTTATTATAGTCACATTTTACTGCTTCTTGGAGTGTCCTGAATGCTCTTTCTCTGAAAAAAAATTACAGCATTTTCTCACAAAAAATGTCTGTTACATTTTTCAAAATAGTTTTGTTTAAAATACCGATTACAAAATATTGCAAGGTGAATTGGTTCAAAGTAATAGACTTATAACTGATTACCATAATCATTTGTTTATAGACAAAAGGGCCTTTCCTGAAAGCAAATACTACTCCAAAATTACTTTTTAACATTGAAAATGATTCTAAAACACAATTCTAATCAAGCCAAATAAAAATCAATCATGCCATTTGAAGCCATTTGAAGTATATTGACATGCTCAGACAGTAAAAAAAAAAAGAACTTACTTTTGACCTGATCGAATGTATGCAAGTGAAAGGTTATTCCAAGCTTCAAAATTCTGCAATGAAGAAAAAAAGTAAATATGCAGAAATTTGTGACAACTATCAAAGCACTTAGTTATGTGAGCATTGATGTTTGTTAATCTCAATTCTAAAAACCTTAAATATTACCACTATTCTTTTCTCTGCCCTAACCATAAATAATAAAATCTTAGTTGTGTAATAAAAAAGAAGTGTTCAAGAATCATCTTCTACAGCACCTCATGAAGACCTAACTATTTGACTGGAGCATAAGATTCTTACATCACTTTCCAGTGTAACACAATTCCTGAATGCATTGGCAGCTTTCTTGAAATCTTGCACCAATAAACAAGCACAGCCACAGGAGTACCACACTGGGATCTGAACAGAAAAAAACATAAATAGTTTATTTTACTATTATCGTTGTTGTCGTTGTTGTTAAATAATCCGGCAACCCAAGGATAAATACATAGAAATTATATATAACAGCGCATGCACGCGCACACACACACACACAGTTTTTTTAACCTGCTCATTACTTGTAATGCCATATGTGGCTGGTAACGATGGATCTTTTCAATCCTGAATCCCTCTCATTTCTCTGGAGAGAATACAACCTAAGCTGCAGCACGTATGGAGCTGGGAATTCTCATTCACGATAACTAGCACTACCAAATGACCATGATTCATTATAATAAAGTTCATGTGGCTGTCAGACATCCAGTTGAGATAACACAGCCACAAGTTCTTTGTTTCTAGACTATGTCAGCCAATACAGGGGCAGATCCAGAGATATTTTCTTACAGTCTTCCAAATTATTTTTGTTGATCTATCCTCCATTTTTGACTGTCTTTCGACAGAAAAAATAGATATCCCTCAATGCAAACAGGAAAATCTGACCCTCTTCCGGAAGACCCAGAAGACGGCCTCAATCTGCCTCGGCAACAGATGGCTACCTCATCACTTGGGTGAACTGCCACTGGCCAGCCAAGTTTCCTGATAGTAGGACACAATGGCCTTACAGTGATAGTAATCATCTACTAACAGACAAGTCCAAAACTAAATTTTCAAAATGGTTCCACTCAGTGTTTGCCTCTTAGGAAAATTAGTTGCTGGACCGAAGGAAGTAACTGGACAGAATGTCTGCCAGTAGGGAAAACTTCTTGGACCATTCTGAAAGTTGTCTAACCCGGGCAGACGGTCCAGCCTTAATTTCTAACACTGGTTCCACTCTTGAATTAAAACTTTATTGCACATGACAATGTAATCATCTTCACAAAACATAAGCTAAACTGTGTTCCACACTGAGGATAAAAAATTTTCAGACAGATTTGAAAACTACTTACTTCAGAATTTTTCAATATATGTGTGCCAACTGCAAATCACTAAAGCAAGCCTAACCTTTATCAACTCATTTTAACCCTTTTGAATTCATTCAAATACATAACCTCCCTAACTTATCAAACTGTTCTCACTTGTGACATCACCTAACTTAAAACATGCTTACCTGCAGATAATTTATGCTCAAAGATTTCTCAAAGCATTCAATGCACTCTTTGTATTTCCCTGTCCTCAGGTACAAGAACCCAAGCAACTTCTGTGATCTGCCACTTCTAAAACAGTAGAGTAGATGTGGGCTAGAGACGAGGTACAATGCTATTTCATAATGAATATTGGGCAGCATCAACATATGCAATTTGTAAATAAAGAAAGAAACAACATGCTACTTGATAACAACATTTTCAATTTTTCTGAAACTTTTTTCAAAAATTTTAAAGATTTCCTAAGTCAAACATATACTTTTCAAATGCACAATTCTCCAAGCATACCTGCCAGGTTTAATATAAGCATCATATCTATTCCAATCATTAAAAAGCAAACCTGTGATTAGACAATTCCCATGCTTTGTTATAATATTGTTCATCCTGTAGAACATCTCCCAGGTAGCACCACAAGTCTGGAGTTTCCTTAACTGCCAGCCTTTCACGAATCACTTTCTCCGCCTGTAAAACAAAGGTGTAAAATACAGTACTGGCATTCAAAAAGATTTACTTGTTATAATCCAGCAGAGTGCAGGATAGAAAAATACTGTCTTTCAACATTTGAGACTAAAATACAATCATTTAAACTCACCCGGAATTTTTAAAACACTATTTTTTAACATGCTACAAGAGATATTGCAAATGCAGATTTAAAAACCATCAACAAAGATGACCTCTGCTGCTTCTCTGAATGAGCGTGCTGAATCNAAGTGTGCAGTACGGATTTATTTGTTTAACAATGGCTTGTTCCATTTCAGGAGGGTAATCTGCTGTCTTTGTAGATAAAAGGGAAATAAATGGTTTATGAAATGAAATAATTTTATTATTTTTGTGATGACTTTACAAACGTCCCTGTCGCTGCAATTTGATATATTCATTTATTCACGCAGGCTTTCCGATATCTCTCTTTCTCAAGTGCCCTGTCCCGCTAGGGCGTTGGCGATCATGGACTTCCACCTCTTCTTGTCCTTTGTGGTCTTCAACAGTTCTCGGTTTTTCTTGTACAACAGAATGTATTATATTTCTATTAGTTGTTCACAATGATTTTTTCTATGAGTTGTTCACAATGATTTTATTGTGAAATATAGATATCATGCGAAGAGTTATTATCCCTTTAAATGATGACGATCGGTCAATTCAAACTGAGTACTCATAATTTAAAAGAGAAAAGTGTCAGATACAATGCTAACTTCAACTTCAGATATAGTCTTAAAAGATTCATTTTTTTATCCAAAAGATGTTAAAATGTGCAGAAATTTTCAACTGCTCTTTACTGCAGTCTTCCTCAGTGCTATTGTTTGACCACTAGGCGGAGTTGTGGTCAAAACAAAGTTGAAACTCAAGGGGACGTGCCACCCTGAATGTAAATGTACGTTGCAACAGATGTGTCGGATCACCCAGCCCCTCAAACACAATACAGAAAAGCAATAAACATGGCAGTTTTTTCTGTCGTGCACTGTGTTCTTTAAGTATATCTGCCTGGTACTGTGTTTTTGGAGTTCACGATCCTGCACAGAAAACTTACTATGTTATGTGGTGCTTCAGTTAAGGAGTTGTCGTTTGGATTCAAAGGGATGAAAGGCAGATAAAGACCACCTGTAGGCTTTGTCAAGAGTTTAGGGTTTCGGATGGGCGTGTCTAGTGTGACAATTTTGGGATCATGTAAAGAAAGGGAGTTGTGGAGATCCATGATGGTCAACCTCCTGCAATGACAAGATACTGAGAGAGAGGGAGAGAGAGAGAGACTTAAGTACACAGACGTATGTTAAGCCTCTCTTCTGGTCCTCAAATCAAGTTCGGTCCCTCGGTTCTAAACTGTTTACCAGAGGCTCTGTTCTGGCCCTACACCTGTAAATGTCCATCATGACGTGTTCAAACGTGTTCCCCAAACGTGTCCTTGGCTGACTCTCATTTGGGCCCCAAACTTTTTCTGCGGTATAGTCTTCATTTGGAAACCTGCCAGTATGACGTTCGGGGGAGGGGAGGGGATTAATTACTTGCAGTTAAGGCTTCGTTCACATGCAATGTCTATTTTCTATTTTCTATTTTCTATTTTCGGTATGTCTTATGATCACGGTCTGTGCACTGAATATCCCGCGGCGTAATTACTGGCATCGCGAGCCAGTTACTATAAGTTACTATAAGTAACTGGCTCGCGCTGCCAGTAATTACGCGGCGGGATATTCAGTGCACAGACCGTGATCATAAGACATACCGAAAATAGAAAATAGAAAATAGACATTGCATGTGAACGAAGCCTAAGCAACTCAACTAACGGTCATTTGGTTGATTTGCGAGATCAACGGACTAGCTGGCTATTATTTCACAGCATAAATTGAAAGATATAAATTGCAGAGTAACCTTGTGTCGCAAGGATACTACTTATAATTATTTTTCCCTTCATGCTCCCCCCTCCCCCGAGCACTTGTAATTAATACTCCGTATCTTGATTAATGTGGAAGAATCGAAAGATGAAAAGAGCGCCCAGACGTGCTTTTGACAGGTCAGGTCATGAAGTAACGGATACGGCATCTCAGGCCACAAAATTGGCTTCACAGGGTAGTGAACAAACTCGAGAAATTTCCCTCTCCGACAAAATTCCGAGCATATATGATCACCCTGCTTCCTACATGTCTTTACAACAATTCAGTATCATTATACTGAATTCTATTACTGTTGTATTACTGATATTGTATTCAACCATCTAATAAAATTTGATATTTGAAGAAAATTTTATTGAAGGATTTTACAATATCACTACTTTACACCATTGCTATTGTTGTGTTTTTATCAGTTTAACTAAAAGGCCATACATTTATATCCTACATATATTTAGCCATCAAACATGTCCTACTAAACATATACAGGCAAATTTCCCGCTGGGTGGGGTTGATATAACATTGTTTTCTGACGTTGATACAACGTTGTTATCTGTGGTTGACACAACTTTCAAATCCAACGTTTATTCAATGTCTTTTCAACGTTATGGTTCAACATTGTTTCAACGTTAAAACAACATAATTTGTCCGCTGGGTAGTCTCATTATGATCAGCCAATCAGAATCATAAGGAGTTCAGCTTCACCAAGAACAAAGAACACTCTCTCTCACTTCCGTAGAAATTTTTAACCTAGCAGTACATGCTCAGGAGAAAAGAGTTTTTAGTGAATTTCATAAAGTTTCTCAAACCCAACCCTGTCCCTCCCTAATGTTCCCTGATTAATTAACACTACAAAACAATTATTAATTCTATGTATCATTATTATATGTATGGTATATATGTTCAGAAACATTTGACATATAGGTAAGCCTCTATGTGTTAGCAGTTCTCATTTTGTTTAATTCAACATACAGGACATAACCTTAGCATACGGCACATATGGCAGTTATAAGGCCAAGAGAGACAACTCTATTAGTGGGCTGTCAGAGTATTGAGGAAACCTACGTCCCCTTCCTGAAGTGTAGGGGTTGCGCAGCTCGCTCTCAGCCTCGGCCGAATTTTGGACATAAAATTTATCTAAAACATATTGCCATGTGTGGGCCCTTTTTCCCTCCATCTTTGCTGAAATGTAAATTATATCTTTAAGCTTGAAAATTATATAACATGCATGATTGTCATTCATAGATTTATATCTAACTCTCAGTATTTTTCATTCGTACTTTGAACATTAATCAAAGTGCAAATGATGTTTGTCCTAAGCTCTGAAGCTCTGAACGCGCTTGATAGAAACCAGATGTGGAGATAGTGAGATTTTACTGCCCGAGCCAGACTACCGACTTTCCAATCTTACTGGTTGAAATAAGTGTGGGCAGGGGGGGGGGGGTATATATATCTTCTTAACCGACCAAGCTAGATAGTCACGAAACACGATAAAGTATATCAGTAGAAAAGCTCAACTTGACTTTTTTATTTCAAATCGTTATTTCATAACATATTAGTTGCTATGCCCTTATGCTCCCCCTCCCACACTGCAGCTCTTGTAATAAATATTCATTTTTTTTTTCATATGAAAGATGAGAGCGTAAATTAACTTATCCCAACCGCTCACGTTTTGCATAATGTTTTCATTAATGTTTCATATTACTTTTAATAACTGCTGACTGCTTTCCCTGTTAGAGGGTACAATGACATAAACCAGTGAAAGTGATGGAACGTGTCATATATTTATTCTGATATTAATCTAAATATATGTGGTTCACATTTTCACTTTTTGTTGAAAGTTTTCTCACATCGAACTAAATGAATTGGGTTGGAGTGTCTACATCTGTAGCGGTGTTTTAAGGGGTCATAAAGTGACCAATTTTTGAGATAGCGTTATGCGGGACTTAGGCAACTTTTATATAAACGGAAAATAATATACTGTAGATTGATTCACAACTCTGTCTGCGGTCGAATGCAAGCCCGTAAAGACCAACCAAAATTAAATGCCCGTGTCTGGTGCTGGTGCGTTTTCGTGGTTCTCTTACATAATTGCGCGGTGCTTCGGCAACAAATGTCGCTACAGATGAGATGCAAATAAAACGGTATAATGATCGACGCGAAAATGCCTTTAGTCTGTTTTGATGCTTTCCATGTACGCACATCTACTATAATGTATAGGATTCGAAATTATCAACATCGGACTACTTAAAATAACCATCCAAAGAACATTACATTACGGTGCGTACACACAATTCGATCGTTTGATTTGTGGTTTTTAATGAACTTAAATAAAGATGCTGCAATAAAGACCAACTGAATAAGATATATATATATATATAGGGCGAAAAAGAAATTGAGACGTCCTTGGAGTCGAGACAAAATCTGTGTTAAAGAATTCTGTAATAACAGCTAGGTTTGTCTCTTTTAAATTAATTTGAAGTGTGCTCTATAACAAGAGTGGCAGTCAATGTGAGGGTCGGTGGCAATTTTAATGGTGGGGATCGAGTATTTAAATTCACAGATTTCGGGCATGAAAGAAAATTTTGTGGTTTCCAGGGGTCAGTTTGTAAGATCAAAATTCAGGCCAGGGCGCTGTTCTGAATCTTTCCTTTGAAGTGGTAAATTGAAACGGGGATGTTAGCCTTTAATTTTGCCCAAGGGAGTACGGCGTTGTGTAACAGTAAATTGCATTGGTATGCATACTTATACTACGTAGTTATGCTGGATCTGTCCTCTATACCATTAGTCGATCAAATCGCCACAATGTCTTTGGTCAGATCATTGGGTTTTCATGATATTCCCTTCACTGTACGCTCCTAAACCAATACAATTGGGATGCTAAGTTGTCATCCTGCAGCAAAACATCACTTGAACATTATCCGAATGATATGGGGTATATAGCTTGTGAAGGCCTAGGTATAAATACCAACAAGGTATGCAGCACATCTCTAAACCAGCCCCGTCAATCAAACACACATTATGGTCAGTTGCGCCTTAGTTTCAATGCAATCAAACAGGCAAATAGGCTTTAATTACGAATATATTGCGCGTTTATTAATAAACCTTGTTTATTCAAATTATTGTTTTTCTTTTTATCAAGAGCTTGTAAAATATGTGGGTATTACCTCCAATATTTCTGTGACTGTCAGTCACCATCATCAGGGAGTAAATGACTAGGGTCATTTCACCTGGAATGAAAATCCAGGTCAATTGCCCCTAATCACTGGCCTTGTGTTGTAACTGTTACTTCCTCCCCCCGGGGCTCCTCTGCATCCCTCTGGAGCACCGTGAGGTAGATAGCTGGTAAATCATACCCCCCCTGTCTGTTCAGGTCTGGTTGTTTGGTCCTGATGTGTACAGCTTCTGCTATTTTTCTTTGGAATGTCCAGTTTTCCCTGTCTATCACTTTCAGGCTGTCAAAGTCTATGTGGTGACCTGGATGTTTGCAGGTATGTTCTCCAAGGGCTGATTTCCAGTTGTTTTTGGCCACTGAGTCTTTGTGTTCTTTCATTCTTGTGGCTAATGGTCTTCCTGTCTCGCCAATGTATTCTCCTTGGCAGGTTCCACATTTGACTGAATATATCACACCACATTGCTCTCCTTGGGTTAGAGGATCCTTGGGCTTCACTAGTGCTTGTCTCAGCGTCCAACCTGGCTTATGGTGGAGTTTGATGTTATATTTTTTATAAACCCGGCTTAGTTTTTCTGACAGACCTTGGCAGTATGGTAACACTATACTTTGCTTTGCACCCTCAATGAGGCCCATTGCATCCTTTTCTTTGTCATGTCTGTTCTTGCCTCTTTTTTCCCCTTGTTTTAGTGCCCATTTTGGATATCCACATGCTAACAGGTCTTTTTCAATCTTCTTCCTTTCTGTTTGTTTGTCTTCTGTATCGGATATCACGGTCTCACATCGGTGGAAAAGTGAAGCTGGTACACTAAGTTTTTGCGAGGTTGGATGATGAGACGACCACTGTAAGTAGTGATCTGTGTTCGTGGCTTTCCTGTACACTGTGGTTTTAATCCGTTCTTTGTCTTTGGTCATCTTTACATCTAGCATTGGCAGAGAACCTTCTACATTTTCTTCTTCTATTGTGAAGTGTA